CTGTACCTTTTCCATTCTCTAGTACACCTAGTTTTTGCCTCCCTACACCTTTGGGTGAAGCAAGGACTCGTTCTGTTCTTCCCATTATTTCTGTTTCCCTTGGGAACAAACCTCTCCTCTGCCTCCTTGCATTTTGTTGCCACATAGTCCATCATTTCTTGTACTGGTTTTCCTGTCAGTTCCCTCTCCCACTGAATGTCTTGAAGGAAGTTCCTCATGCCTGAGTAGTTCCCCCTTTTGTAGTTTGGTTTTTCCCAGCCTATTCCTGCTACTCTCTCCACTTGGAGCTCAACTATGTAGTCGAAGCACAGAACCACATGATCACTAGCTCCCAGGGACCTTTCATTCATGATACCCTGGATGTCCGAACTACTCAAGGTGAATACAAGGTCCAGCCTTTCTGGTTCATCCTCTCCTCTCTCTCTTGTAGTGTCTCTAACATGTTGATGCATGAGGTTTTACAGTATCACATCCATCATCTTGGCTCTCCATGTTTCGGGACCCCCATGGGGCTCCAGGTTTTCCCCGTCAATCTCCTTGTGATTGAAATCACCCATAACTAGTAACTTTGCTCCCCCCATGTGTGCTCTCCTGGCCACCTCGGCTAGTGTGTCGATCATTGCTCTGTTGCTCTAATCGTATTCTTCTCTTGGCCTCCTTCAGTTCTGTGGTGGGTTGTACATTACTGCAATTATCACCTTATGTCCCTGAGACTGGATTGTTCCTACTAAGTAGTCCCTTTCGCCCGTGCCATCCATTCCTTCCATTTTCTCAAAACCCCACTGATTTTTTAATGAGCAGTGCAACTCTTCCTCCCCCTCTCCTCCCTCTGTCTTTCCTGAGGATTTAATATCCGGATGGAAAGATTGAATCTGTTATTATTCTGGTGAGTTTTGTTTCTGTGAGTGCTATTATGTCTGGGGATGTCTCCTTGATTCTTTCGTGCCACTCCTCATACTTGTTTGTTATTCCATCTGCATTTGTATACAACACCTTCAACTTCTTTTCTAAGACTGTGGTCTGGGAGGTATATTGGGGTTGGGGAAGTGGGAGACCTGGTAAGGAACTATGGGTTGTTTGCTGTGGGGTGGAGTTTGTAATGTAGTGGGTGGGGGCACTGGATGTGGCATGGGTGTTTTGATTTAGAGTGTTTGGTTGCACTGGGGTTGACCTGGTTGGGAGGCTTCTATAGGAAGTTGTGAGGGAGGCTGTATTTGATCTTCTTCCTGGGTCTGGGATCTCCTGTCTGTCTTCTCCATCCCCTCTCTTTCCTCCTTTCACCTTTGTACCATCTCTCTCAGTTTCTGCCTTTCTTCTTGTCATCTGTCGCGGTCGAGATACACCTTCCTGTATGCCGGCATGTCCCTTAATCGTGCTTTCTCCTGCAGGATCCTGGTCCGAGTTGCTTCTGCGTTGAAGGTCACTTTCACTGGCCGGGTTCTTTTTTTTACAAAACCCCCTATTCTCCGAAAATTTTCCAGCTGGGTCATGTCGTGTGTGTGTGTGTGTGTGTGTGTGTGTGTGTGTGTGTGTGTGTGTGTGTGTGTGTGTGTGTGTGTGTGTGTGTTTGTGTGTGTGTGTTTGCGTGTGTTTGTGTGTGTGTGTGTATGTGTATGAGTGTGTGTGTGTGTGTGTGTATGTATGAGTGTGTGTGCGTGTGTGTGTTTATATGTGTGTTTGTGTATGAGTTTGTGTATGTGTGTGTGTGTGTGTGTGTGTGTGTGTGTGTGTGTGTGTGTGTGTGTGTGTGTGTGTATGTATGTGTGTGTGTGTGTGTGTGTGTGTGTGTGTGTGTGTGTGTGTGTGTGTGTTGTGTGTTTGTGTGTGTGTGTGTGTGTGTGTGTGGGTGTGTGTGTGTGTGTGTGAGTGTGTGTGTGTGTGTGACTCAACAATCAATATTTGCACCAATAACTCATTACAGTTGTGACCGTGTGTGGAAGTGTGAATTGCTCATTACTCTATAATTTGTTCATGATTGTAGCCATGTATAAACGTAAGTAACCATTCTTACAGGATTCATTACCTTTGTAACTTGTGAGTTCATTACCTTTGTACCTAGTTCAGCTATCAAAACTTTGGCGCCCAGTCCCTGGACCCATTACGTACCTCTGTAATCTGTAAATACCTTTGTAACTTGTCATGATTGTGGCTAGATCTACCTGGAGTTCATTACCTTTGTAAATTGTGACTTCATTACCTTTGTAAATTGTGACTTCATTACCTTTGTAAATTGTGACTTCATTACCTTTGTAAATTGTGACTTCATTACCTTTGTAAATTGTGACTTCATTACCTTTGTAACTTGCTCAGCTATCAAAACTTTGGAGTCCAGTCCCAGGACCAATTATGTACCTCCGCAATCTTTTGACTACCGCCCACAGGATGGGTATGGGGTGCATAATAAACATATTAAACTAAACGATTGTCCAAGGTGTAAATATTGGCCTCATTTTATAATAAGAAGTGTTGTAACTGTTCCCTGTGTTGAATTTGGAACAGTATATTGTTGAAACCACCACAACAGGGTGATGAGAACGAGAAATAGTGAGGGTCGCTAACGAGTGACATTATGCATGCAAGAGAAATAATCTGCCGATATGATCAAGCGCCATCGAGGACACATTCTAGTGAATCACCCTCATATAAGAGGAAATTAATGTAGTAAGATACCAGACTGCGATCTGCTAAGAAAACAGTGACAATAACACTGAGTCAAGGGGATAATTAAAATAATAAGAGTTCGCCATATCCCAGTGTGAGCGCATGTTGACCCGGCGTCCCATTCCTGTGTCTACGGAGGTGTTAATGGAGCTTCACCTCCGTAACTGGAACGAAATCAACCGGAAATCTCGTCCTGCAGAATATGTAAAGGCGCATATTTGGCAGGATTTGGAAATGAGATAGTGAATGGAGTAAATACAGTCATCAACCACAGCTAAGTAACCCTTCTTATGTTAAGCTAGCTGGCCAATTTAGTTTTTCATAATATGATAGGTGTTGTTGTGGGTGATCCAGCTGCATCAAATGACCACCAAAGACAATATGGTAAGCGTTGACATTATATGCAAATATATATTTTCCCCTGATACATATGTATGTGTACCCCACTTCCCCTCAACCTTCAGTCAGGATAACATAACCCATGCAGTCCATCCACTATGACTATTAATAGCATCAGTTATTCGTGTTGTTTATATACTTAAATAATTCTGGTACAGGTTGGATGTGGACAGAAAATAGTGGTTGTCGAAGGAAGACCCTCCTTGTGACCAGAGTAGATCAAAATATTCCCCATTACCTCAGAGGTGCAACAAATGTAAATAATGTATTATTGTTGTCTTCTAATCAAATTGCATGAATGTAATGATGAGGGACATGCGGGTGATTTATTCCCCACAGGACTCTTAATCCAAGAAATTGGAGATGCCTTCCCCTTCCTTTTGCTAAGTAAGTTTATTTAGGCACAGGTACATTGTACAGTTATTATACAGTGTAAATTACCCAGGATAATCCCAAAAAAATTACATATTTCCATTGGGGGTCGAATCTGGCTGCCTCCCACTCCCTGTTTCCCCGATATTGCGTGACCCCTGTGTGTTTAGCGCTCTCTGTGAACAAGAAATAATTGTACTTATGTCTACCAGTGCTTAAATAAATTTACTGAGATGAGGGCAGCTCCAAAATCTTGAATTAAGAGCCATTCACATTGACGATAATCACTTTTGACTTATTTTTGGGTTATCCTGGTAATTTACATGTGTGTTATCGGGCAGGACAATTATACTTGCCTCTTCCCGTATCTAAATAAACTTAGACAGAAGCAAACTATCCATATCCCGACGAGAAAAAGTTACTTTGACCTTTTTTGGGGTTATCCTGGTGGGATAATTATCCTGTAAGATAATTCTACATATTTCTACCTGTGCCTAAATAAACTTAATTATTTTGGATGGCAAAAAATGGTTATCCTGGCTAACCTATACATATGCTGCTTTATATATAATAATTCTTGTAAGTGTATTTATGTGTACCTGGATAAACTTAATCTTTATTATGGATGGAATGTGTGGCGTGACAGCCAATCACCTGCTAGTATAGTGACCTGCCTGGCCAATCACGGCAGCGCTATCAAACATGCATGCAATGTACACATACGCATGAATGCAAACAAAGATGTGTGGAATGTCAACATAGACGTATTAAATGTAAACATAGACGTATTGAATGTAAACAAACTCATGGAATGTAAACATGGACGTATGGAATGTTAACAAAGACGTATGGAATATAAACATAGACGTATGAATGTAAACAAAGACATATGGAATGTAAACAAAGACGTGTGGAATGTAAACAGATGTACTGAATGTAAACAAAGATGTATGGAATATAAACATAGGCGTATGAAATGTAAACAAAAACGTGTGGAATGTAAACAAAGATGTATGGAGTGTAAACAAAAACGTATGGAGTGTAAAAGATGCATGGAATGTAACAGAGAAGTATGGAATGTAAACATAGACGTATGTATATGTAAACAATGATGTATGGAATGTAAACATAGACGTATGGAATGTAAACAGACAATTTACCAGGATTTCCTATTTCTGCAACATTGCAAGCTCCTGATGAGTCAATTGTAACGCAGAAGACCTAGAGCTATCATTCAACTCCCCCTGTGGTTATTTTGCACCGTTTATTGCTCATTAACAATTATTTCAACATATTACTATATATATCATAATTATATGTATGTAAACCTGTACCTAAGAAAAGCTTACTTGTCCTCTGAAGGGGAAATGAACCACCACTTTTTTTTTTACCCATTAGTGGATCAGTACTATGTGTAAACTGACTTATTATATTTCTTGCATGTAATGTACTTAGTTACATCATACTGCGTGGAAAGAATGCATGAGTTATGCATTGTCCATTACCTGAAAATGATATTAGAAAGCAAATTTTCTTGACAAAATCATTTTTTGTGTGTTTATTGTCAGATTGTCATTGCAATGAAAACTTGGACCGTTATAAGTATATGCTTGGTGTCCTTGGTGGTGGGAGCCTACACTCAGGACAACACCTGGGGAGGCCTCTACCCTCGTGAATCTGTGAGTCGAGAAGTTCGTTCCCTTGATGGATTGTGGAACTTCCGCCTCTCCCCGCTGCAGGACCCGGATAAAGGTTTTAGAGAGGAGTGGTATTCCCAACCCCTTAGCAAGGTCTGTGTATATACAGCTATATTTGAGGTTTATGTTGTGTGTGATTTCATTCCTGACTTATAAACCTACAATGTGGTTAATGTAATAATTCATGACACAGTTCATCTCGCTTAACTTACTTTCCTTGCACGGTTCATCCCATTCACCTTAAAAAATTCATCTCGGTCACCTCATACAGTTCACCTTGTTCAGTATACTTTGCATGTCACTCCTCCACAGGCACTACTAGGACACCTCCATCACATCCTGGAATCTCACACATCCACACTTTTTTTCCAAGAACATAAAATTATACAGCAGACTTTGTATACCATTTATGATTTGATTATTTATGATTAATAAATAAATCATTCATATGTATAAACATATTCTCAGTAAATTTCATGCCAAATTGATGCCTCAGTGATTGAAATTGAAAAATGCTCCTTGTTAGTACTTCCAGAATCTTAAATGCTGAGAAAGTTGATCCATTTTTCAGACTTGTGTTGAGCAATATTGCAGAAGTCATTATAGATTTTTTTACATTTGACATATGAACCATGATTTTTATTCCTCTTATTTATTGTGGATAGTTTCATCACAATTGGAGCTAAATTATCGATTTCTTTCATTTTCAATTACTGGAAATCTGACTGATCAGTAGCCAGGCCTTGAGTAGCAGGTGGGGATCTGGCCTTCACAAATTATACTGAATGACCCACACTGGTTTAGCACTTTATGAAATACAACGAATAAGTCTTGTTTCTTTCATGACTTATAGCAACTTAAGCCATGTTACATGGCATGGTGATACTGGATCTTGTATTAATGTTGGTAGAATTACCGACAATATGTAAAGTAAAAGGACACAAGTGCAAGTACTGTGACATTTTACTGAGGCAACGTTTCTCCAGGAGCTTTGTCAAAATGTTACAAACAATACATGGACACAGAGGGTATATATAGGCTTAGAGTGATGTGTAATACTAGTGGTAGTAGTAGTAGAAGTAGTAGTGATATAGGTTGTAGTAGTAGTTGTGGAAAATTAAATTTACCCTGATGTAACTCATAAGATACATACCAGTAAATGGTAACAAAGATAACTATTCTTTATCAAGGTTACAGAGACAAGTAGGAAGTTTAGGACACTTAGGTTGTAAAAAAATATCCCCCTTCAATACCTACTACAATCTATCTCTCCACAAGTCACTCTGGACCTATATTAATTTCAAATGAAATATACATCACCAGGAATTCTGGTAAAACATTAATATAAATATGTGGACTGTATATATTAAATTTAAGAAATGAATACATATACATTGAAGGAGAATTTATAATAATAAGACTCACCAATTTGTCTGGAGAATACTTGGTGTATCATACACAAACCCCTGCCTAAATATGAAGAAAATACTGGCCAGAATTCCAACATAAATATACATGACTTAGCTGGGGTTCCTTGGCTGTGCTGTCCACTCGCCTAATGCTCACGTTATGCATGACTGCAAATCCAACAATTTCTGCCCCTATTTGGGAGTTTGAACCACAGTTTAACCTCCAGAGCGACGAAATTTATGCACATTTCACTCGGGTGCCTTCAGCCCAGTTCAAAACAATGGTGTCTCCTCCCCAGTGACCCCTCACCCATTTCGCTGGTTCTTTATTTACTTACAAATTAATTTTTATTACCTACAATATATTCCATCAATTTACATACAAAAACACTGTATGTTCGAAAATATACAGTATTTTCCACACTGCGGCTGGGCGGAGTTCATTGTTAAATGATTCAAATTACTCCTTCCTTTAGGAGACGATTCCAGCCTGTTCTGGCTTGAGTGGCTGTTCTCCTAATAGGTCTTACTACAATTTTATCTTGCTTTGCTTGGTCAACACTATCTTCAATATCACTCGTGTTATTTTTCCCTTTTTTACACTTTGCTATCCATGTGGAATCCAGAAAGTTTCCCTAATACAATTTAAGGTATCTTATACCCCACCATGCATTACATTTTTATGGGCATTTAAAACAATTAAATTTGTTAGATGATGAGTTTTGGGCAGTAAGATAGGGTGTTTAGCATAATCACCCAATTCAGCATTTTGTAATCTACCTCTGCACCTAATTACATTGTTCTCTAAATACAGCCCCAATTTCTCTATTATGGAAACTTTCACAATTTTTCTTTCCATCATCAATTTAATCTCATTTCCATAGATTGTTTTTGTACCCTCTGTATCCAATATTCAAGAGGATGTGAAAACTTATATGGTGGCCTGGTGGTTAACGCTCTCGCTTCACACGGTGAGGGCCTGGGTTCGATTCCCAGCCAGAGTAGAAACATTGGACGTGTTTCTTTCCACCTGTTGTCTATGTTCCCCATCAGTAAAATGGGTACCTGGGTGTTAGTCGACTGGTGTGGGTCGCATCCTGGGACACTGACCTAAGGAGGCCTGGTCACAGACCGGGCCGCGGGGGCGTTGACCCCCGGAACTCTCTCCAGATAAACTCCAGATAAACTCCAGATGTTCATCTTGTTTAGAAATTTAAACACCAACTTAGTTACATTGATTAATTTGAGTAAAGAAGAATACCTCTTTATATCAATGGCTAAGGAAGGACAAACTATTGGAGTAGTGGTCACAGTAATTTCAACAGAAACAATATACGCCTTTTGTACATGCCAATTAGCTTTATTTACCAACCAGCTCGGTCTTTCAAACCATGATACAGCATTTACAAATTTAGCATAAGGTAAACCTCAAGACAAGAAATCAGCTGGATTCTCCTCACCAGGTATATGATTAAATGTTAACATATGCTGACCCAAACTATTATACTTCTCTTGCATCTGATTAATTTCAGCGACTCTGTTTTGTATGTACACAATTTTACTCTTTCCATTATAAATCCATTGTAAGGATACCTCATTATCAGACTAAATTACAGTGTCACTAATATTTATCTCCTGCAACTTATTTCTTATATAATTAGCTAATTTGACACCTACATAAATGGCTGTTAATTCCAACTGAGGTAAGGTACGTGATTTAATTAGAGACACTTTAGCCTTAGACATAGCAAGAGAAATAACACTATTACATTGAACATAAGCAACTGCTCCATACGCCAATTTTGAAGCATCACAAAAAAATGTGGAGTATATTTTTCCCATTTGGATTGGCCACCTGGCGTGGGAACTCCAACATTGGAATTTTTTCATAATCACCAATTAATTCATCCCACCTGTTAAATGAATTCCTCAGGTAGAGTTTCATCCCAAGCACATTTAAGTTTCCATGCTTCCTGTATTAATAATTTCCCTCTTGTAGTAAGGGGTGACACTAAGCCTAGTGGATCAAAACATTTGGAAACTTCAGCAAGCAAAACTCTCTTAGTTAATTTATTAGGCATTCTTTAATTATTAGGTTTTAACATTAATAAGTCTCTCTCAGTATCCCAAGTTAATCCCAATACTTTACTACAATTTGGTACTTCATCTCCTGTGTAATCTTTACTTATTTTGTCCTTTAATTTGGACGAATTACTATTCCACTCCCTCAGAGGCATATTTGCACTTTGCATTACTTTATTAGCCTCTCCATAAGTCATTAACAATTCCTCTTCAGTTGACGTCACACCCAGGAAATTGTCCACATAAAATTGTTTGCTCATTACTTTACTCAATGGACTTCCCGTACGTTTAAGGTGTGCATTTATCATCGCTTGAAGTACGAACGGACTGGATGTAGCACCAAATAATACGCTCCTGAAGTGAAAGGTTTTCAGAGGTCTAAGTGAGTCACTAGGATTCTCAGGCCATCAGAAGCGGGTCCAATCCCGGTCAGCCTCTTGTAAACCCACTCTTAAGAAAGCTTTACTTATGTCAGCCGTAAAGGCATAATTCTTCACCCTGAAATTCAATAAGATATCTCCTAATTTTTCCTTCAACGACGGACCTGTCATCAAACAGTCATTTAAACTAGGTACACAGGTCCTAGGACCAACCCCTGTGGAACCCCGCTTGTCACAGGTGCCCACTCTGACACCTCGTCACGTACAATGACTCGTTGTTGCCTCCCTGTCAGGTATTCTCTGATCCATTGCAGTGCCTTTCCTGTTATGTGTGCCTGATCCTCTAGCTTTTGCAGTAACCTCTTGTGAGGAATTGTGTCGAAGGCCTTCTTGCAGCCCAAAAAAAAGCAGTCGATCCACGCCCTCTCTCTCTTGTCTTATTTCTGTCACCTTGTCATAAAACTCCAGTAGGTTTGTGACACAGGATTTTCCTTCCCTGAAACCGTGCTGGTTGTCAATTATACACTTGTTTAAACCATACCCTCGGCCGGGATTGAACCCGCGGTCATAGAGTCTCAAAACTCCAGCCCGTCGCGTTAGCCACTAGACCAGCTAGCCACAATAAGATTCATCCAACTAGGTATATTTCTACACCATAGGAAGGTTAGCACAGGCACCACTGTGACCACAAATGCAGGTTTTTACAGACGAATCTCCAGCTAGCGTGGCCGTGACGACCTCTAGCTCAAGTCCCTTCACTGCCGTCAACATGACTCAAGAAATCGTACCGCCGGCCGGGATTGAACCCGCGGTCATAGAGTCTCAAAACTCCAGCCCGTCGCATTAGCCAGAGTTCGTCACGGCCATGCTAGCTGGAGATTCGTCTGTAAAAACTTGCATTTGTGGTCACAGTGGTGCCTGTGCTAACCTTCCTATGGTGTAGAAATATACCTAGTTGGATGAATCTTATTGTGGCTAGCTGGTCTAGTGGCTAACGCGACGGGCTGGAGTTTTGAGACTCTATGACCGCAGGTTCAATCCCGGCCGGGGGTATGGTTTAAACAAGTGTATAATTGACAACCAGCACGGTTTCAGGGGAGGAAAATCCTGTGTCACAAACCTACTGGAGTTTTATGACAAGGTGACAGAAATAAGACAAGAGAGAGAGGGGGTGGATCGACTGCATTTTTTGGGGCTGCAAGAAGGCCTTCGACACAATTCC